AACCGTGCTTAATTAATTAATAATGCTTTTTCAACGATGTTAAGCATTTTGCCGGTTTACATTTTTTGGCATTCCACCCATTTTTTTGGAATTACACATAACAGTTTTTGTCAATTATTTTGAAACGCCCTGTATAATTTAGTAAAGATGAATCGCACTAGTGAAAACTGATAAACGATTTATTACAGTGTTAAATAACCTTGACTCTTAATTTAATTTCGTTAAAGCAAAAAATTAACCCCTTTTTAGAAAAATAAAAATATACACTGCGGTCCCACTGATTTCGTAATGATTCAGACAGAATCAGTAACCAACAGTGCGTATAACGACGGAAATTGTGGTGACAATTTTATTAATAATAATCTCCCTGCTATTAAAATATTTACCATAAAGTTAGAATGACAATTTTTTTATTTATTAACTATAATTATTAAAATGGTTTTGCTATTTTTGACTTCATGGGGAGAGCACTCTGATATTATGTAACTATTTTTTTTTCGTTGTGGTATTTGATAATGCAGTGACTTCTAATAATCATTATTTTTAATTAATGAATAATAAAATTTTTGGGAATTTTCAATTCTTCCAATCTTTATAGACTTAACGTTAAGTAAAATTCAAAATTTGAAGTTTGTCAGACTTCTAGAAATACCTTAGAATTTTCATGGTCACTGTGGAAATTAAAAAACTTTGACTGGCGATAATTCATAGACTTAAAAGTTTATTACGTTGTACTGTTCGGGTCGCCCTCAGGGGTCGGGTAAAGCAGGTGTGTGGCCGAAGGAAATATATATTATATTTCAGAAATCTGCCTAAGGATTAGCCCGATCCTGTCGTGTTAAGCCACACCCAAAATTCCATACACACGTGCTTTGATTAAGGCTTGATTAAGGTTTGCAGAGCTTCAGCATTTGCCATAAAATAGCGAGCAATTTATAACAAAATCATATAAATTATATAAAAAAATCATATAAATTATATAACAAAATCATTTTAAATTATATATCACTGTAATCACAAAACTTCAATCTATTTCCGTATTGTAACGGAATTTTAAATTATCTCTTTATTTTAGAGAAAATTTAGTCTAAACATAAGGAATATTTTGTTGATGTTTGACCATCACAATCTTAAAAATAAAGAAGTTGTCTAAAAATGTGCTACAAAACGGATATAGTATAAAGCTCCGCGCGCACTGAATAGGTATCGGCGAGAGCGAGCGGCACGTAATTTTCAGTTTACGTTGAAATAAATGTAAGCCCGCGCACCGCATCAGATCGGTGCGCTCGGTGCGCTTCGAGCTATCGGCGTTACTCGCGCCATCAGGCGAAATCAGAGAATGCATGGGAGGGGGCGAATAGTCTACGCCGAGCGACTGTTTTTAGTGGAGCGGTTTTACATTAAACACGTCCGATGAATTATTAATCGAAAGTGTACGAGACCATATCATACTTAATATGCGGTTTCTTATAAAAATTTCTTACAAGCACGTAACCTATATTGTTTACTACACTTATTCAATAACTGAATTAGAAAACCTTCCGATTAAACCCATTTATTTCTCATCTCGTTTTGATTATCTCACATTATTTTGAAAATCGAATTTATATATCGTCAAAAAACTTATCATATTATTTAATTTTTGGTTTGTTTTGACGTTAGTAATAACAGCTGATAAATAGTCATCCTATGTTGATCGCTCCGTAAAAGGTACAAATAGAGAAAATAATATTTATGTTTGAATAAAATATTCGTACATATATCTACCGTATGATAGAAAAAACGGCGTCCAGTTGGATGGGAAATGACGATTGATGACATTTCCTATATAAATTTACATATAAAATGGCACCGACCTTCATTTCATGGTCATCGCTGATGCCGTTCCTTTTCGATAATACGGTACTATAAAAACTATTTATATTTTTTCTTTTTTCAATTTTCTTTGGTTTTTTTATTATATTTTAAGTTTTTAAAATCTTGGTTTTAAGTCAGTAGTGAATAAAACGAAACTTGTGTTTACATTTTGTTTAGTGATTGACGTTTCGACTAATTTTAATTCGGTCTTCTTTAGTATCTACAATATACAATACAATTTTATCACTAACAATGTGTTTAATATATAATTTTTTCTTACCACAAACGTAGAAAATGATTTATACGTATATTATAGATTCTGAGAAGACCGAATTAAAATTGGTCGAAACGTCAATCATTAAACAAAATGTAAACACAAGTTTCGTTTTATTTACTACTGACTTAAAACAAAGATTTTAAAAACTTAAAATAAAAGCTATATATAAATGTTTGTAATGACACTTATTTAGATTAAAAAACTAAAAATAGAAGTTTTATTTGACTATTTTTCATATCTAGCTTTGTTTTTAAAAAAACAAATTAAACTCTTTTGAATTATACCAAATTTGTTAAAATCGGTCAAGCTAAGAGTCATGTAGTATATTTTATCCCCATCTTCCACTCTATTTCACTAATTTTATGTGGTTTGTTAAGATCTAAATATATTAATGTGTGTTTGGTTAAGATCTAAATAATGTTAATTTCCATCATAAAGTATAAAATATAAAAAGTTGCATAAACATATAAATAGTAATAATACATTATAATTTTTTGAAATGCCGAATGAATTTGACTAAATTTGAATAAACCTCTCCTCGTCTATGCTCAAATTTATGCTGGTGACGTACTCTCGACCGCCGATCGTGCGACTCCAGTGCGCGGCTACAATCGACTTTCCGACCGGTGCGGTCGTGTCGGTCGCGCCGCTCGCACCGCTCGCTCTCGCCGATACCTATTCAGTGCGCGCAGAGCTTATTCCTTTATCTTTAATTTTCTTCTTCATTTTTGTAAAAATCCCTAGCCAGTTTTACATAAAACGTTAAATGCCGAACGCGTATTTTGCTACTTTTGCGACTCTAATGGTAAATATATACAGGGTGGCCCATCGAAAACGTTCATCACATACACATAAGTCACAGAACAGCTATCCAACAACTACCGCACCTGATCGTTCAACCTTGTGGCAAGTGAAAAAATGCGTCAACATCTAGAAATAATAAGGAAAAACAGCAAATTGGTCGAAGGAATTTATCCTTATCATTTACTCTGATAAATATTTAAATAAACTTTTCAAATTTCAATCCTTCATATTTTTTCAGTGACTCGACCGATTTTCAAAAGCGAAGCGGGAAAGTATAGAGAATAGAAAGCCCTTTTCATTGCGGTACGATTTGACCCCCCTTCCCATTTGAAAAAAATTGGGGGATGACACCCCCGCTTAGAGGGTTGAAGATTTTGCAATAATTTTAGGGGCAAAGGTTGTCCCCCTCACAAACAAAATTGACGTGTTTTCAAATTTTCTGAAAAAAAAATTTCCTTTTGCCGTTATGCCTTGCGGAACGTTTTCGATGGGCCACTCTGTATATATAAATGGGCTCTTAATGGTAAAAATTAGGACTCTTGCTATATCCACAACGAAGTTACAGAGGAATCAAACCTATGGTACAATAAAACTGTTCTAGACTTAGCAGATAATAAAATTTTATGCAATATAGTCTGTCCAACGAGAAGATCCTTGACAGTGATAGATGTGTCTGTCATTTTAATTTCAAAATAGTTTATTTTATATTACAAAGAAATAAGTTGGTACAACTGGAACTCATAGCGATATATTTAAAATTTGATTGACAAGATGACAAGTGATTACTTCAAAATATTGTGAAAAAAACTGTATAAAACTGAAAAAATGTAATCGAGTTATTTTATTTAATAAAAACGGTATGTGTTAATACAAAACAAACAAGAACAAGACACTACATACCAAAAAAATATAAAAAAGAACTATTATTTACTTTCAAGCTTTATGAAACTACCCGCATTTATGATTATATTTATCAATATAACTTATGTACAAATACAAATTTGTAATATTCCACAGGCATAAATAAAACAACATAGGTAAATACAACAAACTATTTTATTAATAATAACACCTACCAAATTTTATACCTTAAAGGTTGATTAATTAACTTTAATCTTAGTTTTTTTAAACCAGTACCTTTTGACATTATTTTTCTGCAGTACTAAAATCCATTATTTACCTATCGTGTAATGTCGATATTTTACAGCTACTCCAGTTTTTAGTATGTGTTTAGTTTGATCCTTATATACGAGATGGCACTTATCTACGACGAAATGGTATACAAACTTTATCGATGGCAACTTCATTGGTGTATAAGACTTTCTGCCTGGGCAGCGTGTATTAACCATAAACTGTGCTCTGGGTCTACAGTTAATTTTCACTCGATTTTTCCTCCACTTGACTTCAAAAGACACAAAACACACGTAATAATACGAATCAAAATGCATCATCTTCCGAAACGCAGGGTATTTAACAAAAGTTGACACAAAAATATAACCTATAATTTGGCAAGACTTTGACAAGCGTCAAAAATGACAAAAATCTAAAGGCGAGTTCATACGCATCGGCGTCCGTTTGTCGTTCATCGTTCCGTCAAACCATTAAAATTGAAATACGATCTGTCATTTTTTAAATAAACCAATAAAACTGGTTAAAAACAAGAAGACACGACGCATGACGGATTTATATTTAAACTCATCCATAGATAACTTAAAAATTATTAGAAACTTTTTTTAGTAAAATAAATAGATTGGTATGGGACGTCATCTGCTTTTCTTCTGTCATCGTCTGTCGAAATCTTACCTGAGAAAAAAAACAGAGTATACTAGTCCAGGATATGAATGCTTTTATAGTTTTATTGGACACCTACATACTAATTTATGCATCTCTAAGAATCCGAACTGTAAATAAATAAAAATAAAAGTTTTTCAAAAAATAGTACCGGATTGGTTTCAGGAACTCTTTAATTGTTTTTATGGTCTTATCCAATTAGCACCAACCTATTCAATAATTATCTGAACAAATATTTTCGTTTATACTTATTTCCGTATCTTTTTTTCAGATTTTCCTGGCTCACCTGCTACAAATGTCCGAGAGACATGTTTTGAGACATTTTTTCTTCGAAAATATTAACACCCTGAGGCAACACCACAATGTCGTAGAAGATTTTGAATCTTCCGCCGACTTTACGAGTCTACGTTTGGAAGAATATCACGATAAATTGAGTAAAACATCAGAATCAGATCTCAATAAAACTGGGAAAACACTAAGCTGTGATTTTGATAAAGTAGAAAATAGTTTTAGAGGATTTAGTAATGAGAATCTGTCCCAGTTCATATCTCTTACATCTAAAATAACTGAAGTTTGTGAAGAATTAGAATGTACGATAAATAGCTTGATTGAAAAGAAGCATCTGGAAGATCAAAACAATGATTATCATGATGCAGTCCGTTTAGAACTAGAAGAAACTATTCAGGAAGACGAATTGCTCGATAGTTCTCCAGAAAAAACGAACAGGGGTAGTGTAGAAAGTAATTTTAAAGGATTTTCCTGTACAGAGTTAACTGAATCCACTTCAGGAACAACTAGGTTAACAGAAGTATGTCAAAAATTTGAAAATACAATAAATAGTCTTGTTAAAAACAAACGTCTGAAAATAAACCGAGATGAAGAAGTAAATTTTTATGACATAGAATTAAAAGATATTAACAAAACTATCTCTGATAGTTCTAGTCCAGAAAATAATTTTAAAGGGCTTTCTCATAGGGATCTGGCACATTCCATATCTGGAACATACAGGGTGATGGAGGTTTGTCGAAAACTGGAAGATACGATTGACTGGTTGGTGGAAAACAAACATATAAGATCGAATGATGTAAAATCGAAGTATTGGACCAAGCAACAGGAACAAATTCTGAGTAAGCTGGAACTTAGTAGTATGGACTTGAAGGCCAGGAGTCGTCGGAAGTTAAAAAAAGAAAAACACAAGAAGAATGGGACTGTAACTGTTGAAAATGGCATCGAGACAAGTGAAGTCAAGGTGGAAAAATCAGGTAAAATTTTTTCTTATTGACATAGATCCAATTCTGCTTTATTCGTAGCTACAGGGGGTTGAAGTCAATATTTTTTCTTCCGAGTACTTTTAGCGATTCGAATGAAATTTTGACGGTAAAACTTAATATATGTGCGACATATTTTAATGCTAAAAAAGTGTCGATAAATTCATCAGGGACGTGCATCGTGCATGTTGGTTATGACTGGAATATTATTGCATGTTGGTTATGACTGGAAGCATGTACGCCACTGATTTTTTTCTCTTTTTAAAAATAGTGTAAACCGTTTAATGCCGATTAAGAAATGTCTCTTGATATTTTATCGATTTCAGCCTCCTTGATGAGATAAACGCAGTTTTATTAATTTACCAACAACTTTTAAAAAAATTTAACATTAACTTGCTCGAAATTTGGTATGTCGATAGATTGGACCAAGGCCAAGTGACAGTTAGTGTTGACGTAAGAAACGTCAAAAGTTGATGTCGTGCGATCGCGACCAAATTTGGTGGGTAGACTATGTGAGCGACGGTGCACACGAGTCCCACCTTGCAAAGTTGGATACGACGTTTCGTTTACATCTTCATCAAGGTGGGACTAAGGATTTGATATACTGAAACAAAATGTGGGTCGATTTCGGCATAATTGGGGACGGGCTTTAGGATGACGCCTTCGACGTTTCGAACCGAGCGATGCCTCTAAATGGACGGAATCATCAGGAATTTTCTTAATTATGGGTCGATTGGTACCAAACTCGGCTCGTTGATAGAGGTACCCGAATACAGACGGACCGACGGTCATTTTAATATAAATTTTGTGAAAGTGAAATAAAATTATTTATTAATTTTTTTTACTACTTCTTCAACATTTCAAACTACACTTTTTCAAACATGTCTACAAAAATAGCTGTTAGTAAGACGTTTTACCTCAAATATACGCACATAGTGCACACACAATTTTTTTTTTTTCAACTTACTTTACTTGTTAAGCATTACGCATTAAGTTACATCCCATACAGCACGTCCAAATGAAATTACGTTTCTACAAGGGAGACACATGAGAAACAAAATATGTTAAAGTGAACCTAAGTGTTCATCTAGTTCTAACATATACATATGAGATACACGCAGGTTTATATTGATAGAATTGTGTGATACAGTGTTTACTAGTTGTATACCGTATGCACTCAAGATTCTAAGGAGTTTTTGTAACGTAACAAATAATTATTAAAATGATGAAATCTGACGTCGGTATATGAGACATACAATGTATAAGTCATATGTATGTGTGATACTTCGTATCATAGTTGTGCCTATAGTACACACCTTGTAAAAATGTGACGTATACACATAATATAAATATCTATATAGACACTTTGTAATAGTGTACTGTTGTGTCTACATTCTAGCATAAAATGAAGGTGTGCGCACGCGCGGATAGCCTCAGCGTAGATACACCGACCAAGTGTATCTTATGTGTCCTCTCTCCTTTCTCCTTTCTAGGAGTGGTTTGTGTTAGCAGCCATTATTGTTTTATCATTCCGAAGCTCTATATAAATGTTCTGTTTATGTGTAGTTTAAAAGAGATTTTAAGGTAAGCACAAGTTTTTAATTACCTTGTTACACCTTCCTAAGAGTATTATTAATATTATAGCAGCGACTCTTCCCTTACTCGATACCTAATTTGCCAAATTTTGACTCCAATGAATGAAAACTCCAAATATTCTCGTATAATGATAAAGAGGTTAGCTCTGCAATATGATTTTTTTAATTTGGAAATAATAAAAATCTAAATGAACCAGAGAAACAAAAAATTTAAACACTTTAAAGAACTTCTTACACTGATATTCGGTAAGTTATTGATGGATCAATATACAGATATGTTTAATATTCAATAATCAGTTTCATATAAAATTTAAGGGTGAGATTGTTAATCTGGAAATAAAATACAACGAAGTCCAACAGAGTGTTCGATGAATGAGTATGCTAACAAACCAACTGCTTGGAGGGAAAAGATGAGAAAAAAATGACTAAACGAAGTCCACCAAATCGTGGCGAAATACCACTGTTTACCATTATAGTATGTTGTTATACTAGGTACCTACTTATATTTTTAATACATTTTGATACAACTTCTGTTCTTTTACTGTGTTTTCTTTTGGAAAATACAAAGTTTTGCCTTCCTAATTTTCGTTCTGAAAAGATATAATTGGGATCATTGAATAAATAATTCTTAAAAAGAACGAAAAGTTAGGCATCAAAACTTGTATTATTTCCTAAATTCGTTCATAAGAAGTAGTTTTATCTAGCACAAGATGTATATACGAAGCAAAATACATACGTATACACGCGGTAGTCACAACTGCAATGTGTAAACAGAGTTTAAACGTAATACACAAGCACTGTGTATCCTACGGCACACTGTGTATCCCTTACTTTGTGTATACGTAAATGCTATACTGTGGCTACATTGTGAGGCGGACGTTTAACCTTTGTGCATACGTGTTGAACTACAATGTGTAAACGTAGCATATTTACATCGGGGGAATTGTGTCACCCTGTGTCTGCATCTAATAATGTATACACATCGTAAATGTGATTTGATGTGCCGTATGGGATGAAGCATTCTTTTTGACATCGTCGTTTGCAAAAACGTCACTTATTCTACGGTAACTAGATTTTTAGAATAATTGATTATAAAGGAAAATCATATTTATATTAAAACTTTACAATTGAGGATTATAATTAATTTGATTAACGTTACTGGGAAACATGAGAAAATAATAAATTGCCGGAAATTTGAAGGCCTTCTATAAAAGTAATTGTGCATCAACAATTATAAGATATTAAAAATTTATATAGAATATATAGATCGACTTGTTAGTACTTGAAATTCCACATCTGTCTATTAGGTATATGAGGGAAAAGAAAATGTTTTTACACACCCAAATGCAAAAAACGCAACAGAACAATTTTTCGTCAATGTAATGTGTCATCCTATAAAATGTTGTTTCTCGTGTAATAAGGAAGATAATGGAGTAAATAAAAAAACTAAATGTAAAAAAAAGATAAGGCTAAAATGTGATTTCAATTTTAACTTGATACTGTAACTGATCAACTCTACAGGGTGTCACAAATTCTATTAAAAAAACACGTTATAATTGCTACACCCGGTATTAGTATAAAAAGGGTTCCTATCAAAATACAGTTAGTATAGCAACATTGTGGAAAGAATAACCTATCATTCAAAAGAAATCGTCCAAATCGGATAAGTGGTTTTGACAAAAACTTAACTTAAATTTTGGTTATTTTTTTGTGGTGCGTTAATTTATTGGGGAAGTGTATTTTTTTGGAGTGAAACTTTTTTTTGGGTGTAAAAATTCAAATTCGTGACACACGGCCTTGAATGATGACCGTGACGCACGAGCTAGTGAAGCACGTGAAGAAAAGTGATAACGGCAGTGTTGCCACCGCCACCCCATTCGGGGTGGATCTACCCCGCTATCTCGTGATAATCTACCTCGACGAAAAATAAGCTTGTGGCAACACTGGGTAACGATCTGTGCCATACGCGGCTAAGAAAATCACTATAATAAACTTAATACTCTACCAACTTTGATGTGATGTGTACTCATGGTACAAAGAATACAAGGTATGATATTGCGCAGGTTGGTCGCTACGTCACAGGTGATAACAGGCGCTATTGGTCAGCACGCTCCGCGCGCCAGTTCAAATCGTCAAGATATTGTTATAAACCTGTTTTTTTGTTTATATACCGTCATTGAATTATCGCTAAGCAAGTTACTGTGGAGCAGTGCGTAAGGAGTTGGGCTAGGAAGCGAGAGACCGGAGTTCGAATCTCGGCCGGGACATAACTTTTTATTTATTTTTTTAAATACTGTTGTATTCTATAGTTTATTTTTGTAGTATAAAAAAAGAACTATTTATTCTGTTATTTTTTCATCTCCGGTATTAATATAAATTGACTGTTGGTACAATACCTCATTTAATATAAAATAATATCTACTTTTTGAAATGTATCGGGCACTAATTGTACCTAAAAGTAATATATTTTTAGTGATATACCATATTGTAAACTATTTAATATTTCAGTCACTTAAAAAGTTAATTTGCATTGAATAATTGCCTACCATTAAAGGAAATTTGAGCTATATAATCCTTGATGGTCATATTCTGGGTATGCAAATACTTCCTCTAAATTTTGGGTTTCGTTCAACCGATTTATTCTCAAAACCTGAAACATCTACATATAAAAAGAAGCACAGGTCACTAATTATAATAGACTTCACCCTTGGAATTACTTCTATCACAATTACAATACATTCATCTGCATTGGCATTTTCTACTTTTCGATGGGAAACTTCAACTTCCCAACATTTTTTAAATGATGTAACAATTCCTCTTGTGGTTACTTTTCCATAGATATCCTCATCTCTGTCCTCATGTGAATTCAGAGGCAATGAACATGAAAATTATTTACCATAAACATCGCAAACTAAAAACCTAATAAACAATTTTATACCGAATATAGAAATAAATTTAGTATTCTTACCTATTATTATCGTCCAAATCCATGTTAATAGATAATTATTTTTAAATATATTTTTTGGAACTGCTGGTTTTAGTAATTATTAAATTAAACGAACTAAAAAGTCTTAAAAATAAACAATTCTTAACCATAACCCCAAAAAATGCAGATCTCCTGTCAACTTTCTTTATTTTTTATTTATTCCTCATTTTCCTAGTGACGTCACAGGTGGTATGCGCGAACTGAACGAAATTGGAGTCGCTATCGATCATACCTTGTATTCTTTGTACCATGATGTGTACTACGAGTAGTATCCTCTGGTTGTGTGCTAGAAGGGTGCTAGAAAGTAAATTTTCATGCATATTTTCATCGATAAGTTTGTAGGTTCTGAATAACGGTCTAAGTAAAGCATCTAGCTCATTTGCCAGCTCAGAATTAAAATTTAGAATTAGTAAGTCGTATTTTCATTGGAGGTCACTGCCATATTTATTTCAAACCAATAATCAACGAGAATATTCATATAATTTAATAAGTTAAGTTAATTTAAAGTTTAAGTTATTTTTGGTGCAGTTTATTAAGACAGCACGATGGAAAACAACCGAAAAAATCATAAACGAGAAATCCCATAAAACATACGAAAATGTCGCACTCCCTGCTAGTGTGCATTCTTATATAAGACACTGTGTTTTAAAAGTAACCATTACTATATTTGTTACTCCCATTTTACATTTCAGATAACCCTTCGCCTTCAGACAAAGAATTCCACGATAACAAGAACGTTTCACCAATAAAAATGGAAGCAGGGGAACCAAAAACGGAATCAGGCAGCTCTAATACTCCGAAAAAGAAACGAGTCGCATACCCTTTTGTACCTCCCCGTTCTCCTCATAACCTAATAGAAGAGCTACTCTACCACGATCCATGGTCACTGCTCGTAGCTACCATATTCCTGAACAAAACGTCGTGCAGCGCTGCCAGACCCTTCGTTTTTTGGTTTCTAGATGAAAATCCAAATCCACACGTCGTTCTGAAGAAGAACTACGAAGACTTGGAAACCTACTTCGGATTTTTGGGTCTACAAAAAATCAGGTCTATGCAGGTGAGTACGAAAGAAAATTAGAGTAATAATGTAGAATGTTTAGGAGGGGAGTATCACCGCGACCTTACAGATCTATTGTGTGTTGCCCTTTCTTGAGTTATAACGCGTTATAACACATCGTACAGTCTCAAGGCTTTAACAAAAGCCAGTATCTGAGACGGCTCCACGGAGGCCAGCTCTCCATCCTCGACATTAGCCGTTCATGGCACGAAAGGTAGTGGTCTCGGCGCACTCAGTGATAAGGTGTTCTGGTGTTTCACCATTTTCCCCACAGATTCTGCATTTGCCGTTGTTTCTCAGCTTCAAACTACTGAGGTGTTCGTTGAGGAGACAGTGTCCTGTTAGAAACCCCGTGACAATCCGAAGACTGTTTTTACTTAAATCAAGGAAAATCTTATCTAAATGCTGACAAGCGTCTTCAACACTTCCCTCGTATAATAAAAATAATGACATATCCATAGAAAAATAGCTTGACATAACTCAACAATAGGTTATGAAATTCACGTAACATTGACATTTTTCATTGTTACATCCGTCAGTTATCAACTTTTGACTATTACCTACATTAGAAATTGTGATGTTGCCAATATGTGCTCAACGCGTATCCAGAACACGATTCGCATGGCAACGAGAATACCAAAATCGACTGCCTTGCGTTTCGCTGATCGAATACTTGCGCTCGCCGCTTTGAAAGCGTAACGTTTTTATGTCAAAGTTACAGAATACGGGTCCTGCATTTTACTTTAGTAATAGCGTGAAATATGAAGTGTGGCAAAAATAACAATATTGACCTGACTACAATGTCTTTCTAGTGTTTATTACTTGACATTATAGCTATTATTGTTTTATTGTGTATTTAAATCTGTTAACAGTAGGCATTTTTATAGATTTTGTCGTTAACATTAAACATTAATACATTTTTGTACAATCATGTTTTGTTTTTATTTTATGATTTCTGTGAATGTCTATATGAATACCACTTTTATGTAATTTTGAGAATTTCCTATGTCTAATGAAACCAATTCGATTAACAAAAAATAAAATACTTAAAAGTACCACATACAATAAAATAATGAATATTTACATAATCTTAATTATTAAAATTGTACTTTGAATGGTTTGAACCAAGTACGTCAATAATATGAAAATTGATTTTTCCAGCAAATTAATAAAAAAATTAAATGGGTTTGTTAAAAAACCTTACCCTAAACCTAAATACCCTAAAATGAATAAAAATATACATGATATCCTAATATCTAATTTTCAGTTCGCTGGTTTTGGGAAATGCTCTCAACACGGACAGCAGAGGCTCAGATGGGTACCAAAATTGTAGCTGTCAAAAAAGAACACAACGAACTCCACAAGGTGAAGTAACCTCCCCGCTACTGTGGAGTTTGATAGTGGATGAACTAATAAGACAAATTAACTCTAGCGAGAATACATTGATGCATGCAACAGATGACATGTGATGACACGGCACCCTGTGTGATATTATCCAAAGAGGACCCCGTGTCACTAAGAGAGATGGTGCAGGACTTTCGGGCTGAGACCGTTGGTAGTGTCATTCACCAGAAAGTGAAGTCTGAAAATCTTGAAAAGAATCCATCTAGATGAATACTGCCACCACAGGAAGTCAAATATCTTGTAATAACCCTGGACAGTAAACTTTCATGGAACAGGCATATTAAGAACATTACCAGCAAAGCCACAAAGGCTCTCATGATATGCAGAAGATTGGTGGGAAATAGATGGGGTTGAGCTTCTAACATTTTGCGCTGGATGTATGCCATGATAGTAAGACCCATGATTACCTATGGAGCAGTTGCTTGGCACACAAAACTAGAGCTATGTACTTTGCAAAATCTGTGCAAAGGACAGAGACTGGCATGCATCTGCATCACAGGTGCCATAAGAACATGTCCAACAGCAGCAATGGAGGTCATTCTAGACCTAACACCAATGAACATTGTCGTCGGTAAATATACCGTTGCGACAATGATGGTCAAGAATGGTCATTGACGGAAATAGTATTGGGAGAATTGTCAGGTCAGGGGCTTGCAACACAACAAAAGGAAAATTCCACTTCTCCAACTCCCAGTGGATGACATACCAGTGGATGACATACCACAACAAGAAAAATCAACCACAACAAGAAAAATCAAAGAACGAGAAAAAGATCTTTGATTTTTCTCGTTCTTAAGTTATGAGGAACTTTGTCGAGTATCTTAGACCGTTGGAGGACCCATTCCAGGTTACGGATGGAGTCTTTCAGGTTCTTTATTTTTAAGTTGGTTTCCACCACTTGGGAAGCAGAACGGTTCTGATCCAGTTAGTGAAGCGTTCGCTCCTTTTCTAGCTAGATCATTTGCTTTTTTATTGCCTTCTATCCCTTAGTGAGCAGGCACCCAGAGTATAGGGGCTTTATTTTCTATGCCTAACGTGTTGAGTTTCTCTAGGCATTCTTTGACCAACTTCGAATTAATGGTTACTGAGTTGATCGCGTTTATGCTGCTTGACTATCGGATAAGATGGCTATTTCCTCTTTACGATAGTTCCTATCTAAGATAAATTGTACGCATCTTTCGATAGCGTAGATTTCTGCCGAAGGATGGTGGGAAAGGGTGCCCATTGATTCGGAGTATTTAGTTTTCGGCCCAAATACTCCTATCCCTGTCCCTCCTTTGGTTTTGGAAGCATCAGTATACCACGTTATGGTATGGTCTTTTACATGCTGAGGAAGCGTTTCTTCCTTCTATTCCTTTTTGTTACTCAATAGTACAGTGGGTATGTCATCCACTGGTATGTCATCCACTGGGAGTTGGAGAAGTGGAATTTTCCTTTTGTTGTGTTGCAAGCCCCTGACCTGACAATTCTCCCAATACTATTTCCGTCAATGACCATTCTTGACCATCATTGTCGCAATGGTATATTTACCGACGACAATGTTCATTGGTGTTAGGTCTAGAATGACCTCCATTGCTGCTGTTGGACATGTTCTTATGGCACCTGTGATGCAGATGCATGCCAGTCTCTGTCCTTTGCACAGATTTTGCAAAGTACATAGCTCTAGTTTTGTGTGCCAAGCAACTGCTCCATAGGTAATCATGGGTCTTACTATCATGGCATACATCCAGCGCAAAATGTTAGAAGCTCAACCCCATCTATTTCCCACCAATCTTCTGCATATCATGAGGGCCTTTGTGGCTTTGCTGGTAATGTTCTTAATATGCCTGTTCCATAATGCCAAAGTTTACTGTCCAGGGTTATTACAAGATATTTGACTTCCTGTGGTGGCAGTATTCATCTAGATGGATTCTTTTCAAGATTTTCAGACTTCACTTTCTGGTGAATGACACTACCAACGGTCTCAGCCCGAAAGTTCTGCACCATCTCTCTTTGTGACATAAGGGTCCTCTTTGGATAATATCACACAGGGTGCCGTGTCATCACATGTCATCTGTTGCATGCATCAATGTATTCTCGCTAGAGTTAATTTGTCTTATTAGTTCATCCACCTTATCAAACTCCACAGTAGCGGGGAGGTTACTTCACCTTGTGGAGTTCGTTGTGTTCTTTTTTGACAGCTACAATTTTGGTACCCATCTGAGCCTCTGCTGTCCGTGTTGAGAGCATTTCCCAAAACCAGCGAACTGAAAATTAGATATTAGGATATCATGTATATTTTATTCATTTTAGGGTATTTAGGTTTAGGGTAAGGTTTTTAACAAACCCATTTAATTTTTTATTAATTTGTTGGAAAAATCAATTTTCATATTATTGACGTACTTGGTTCAAACCATTCAAAGTACAATTTTAATAATTAAGATTATGTAAATATTCATTATTTTATTGTATGTGGTACTTTTAAGTATTTTTTATTTTTTGTTAATCGAATTGGTTTCATTAGACATAGGAAATTCTCAAAATTACATAAAAGTGGTATTCATATAGACATTCACAGAAATCATAAAATTAAAACAAAACATGATTGTACAAAAATGTATTAATGTTTAATGTTAACGACAAAATCTATAAAATGCCTACTGTTAACAGATTTAAATACACAATAAAACAATAATAGCTATAATGTCAAGTAATAAACACTAGAAAGACATTGTAGTCAGGTCAATATTGTTATTTTTGCCACACTTCATATTTCACGCTATTACTAAAGTAAAATGCAGGACCCGTATTCTGTAACTTTGACATAAAAACGTTACGCTTTCAAAGCGGCGAGCGCAAGTATTCGATCAGCGAAACGCAAGGCAGTCGATTTTGGTATTCTCGTTGCCATGCGAATCGTGTTCTGGATACGCGTTGAGCACATATTGGCAACATCACAATTTCTAATGTAGGTAATAGTCAAAAGTTGATAACTGACGGATGTAACAATGAAAAATGTCAATGTTACGTGAATTTCATAACCTATTGGTTGAGTTATGTCAAGCTATTTTTCTATGGATATGTCATTATTCTTATTATACGAGGGAAGTGTTGAAGACGCTTGTCAGCATTTTCGATGTTTTGAACAATATTTATAGCTGCCAAGTCGTAAATTATCAATTACTTATTGAGGAATTTATAGATGAAGTAGTAATTTTCACTAAAGAGCAAGATAACGCAAAAAATCACAATTTTTTCGATTTTCACTGACAGTTCGACAAGCAAAACGATCCTTTAAGGCCACCGTTTTCAAAGCGCTCAGCGCAATCAGTAAAGACGTTAAGCGCGTCAGACGAGAATACCGAAATCGTTAATTAAGTGCGCGCTCAGCGAAAATTAACGTCATATACGCTGAGCGTCTAAAAGCGCTTAGCGTTTTCAAAGTTACAGAATACGGGCCCATACGTTATTTTTATTAAGTTTCGCATATTAACGACAATTAGGTGTAGGTACACAGAATAATAAAAATATAATAAACCACACTTACTATAAAAACTGTTAAACTATTCTTGTTAAAAACAAAAGACGGCACATGATGGATATATTTATATAGGGTGCTACAAATTCGAGGTACGAGCATTGGTATCTCGGTAACTGTACCAACTTTATTTTTTCCTGTCGTTACTTTTTAGAAAATCAAAAAACTAATTAACAATTCTCATAAGCCCTTTATTAGGGATATCTGATGGTATTTTTAGATTTTCAAATTAGCTAATATTTTGTGAGATACAGAGGTCAACTTTATTTTTTTGAATACGGACCTGCATTTTTTCTTTTCGGTTTTGAATGAACTTGGTCTCCTGAGTACAATGATATGCCACACTTTTTTGTTGGCATTACTTGACGTCATTTGTAAAAGTGAAATCAATACATTTCAACATTTACAATTAAGAGTACAAAATGCATTCGGATTTATAAGAAAAAGATATCTTCAAAAAACTATAAATAAAATTGAACGAAAAATAAATTTGTGCAATAGGGAGGGTGGGAACCCTTTCGAACATGTAGGGCATTAGAAACTAGTTTGTAGAAGTTGATTTATTTATAATAACTACGATTAATATTATGCATATTACTAGATCGTACAATGATTGATGAGTTTTCAAATTCACAATAAAAAGTTATAAATAATATTTTTAAATTGCTGACCTGGATATTGTTTTTTTTTCTAATTTTTTAATTGGTTCAATTTTCCTTATTGAATGTTAATTAGCGCTGATCAATATTGTTGCGATGAATATATAATCAGATTAGATAATTTAAAAAACCAGAGTCGGACTTGAAATTATTTTAAATAATAATTAAATAGTTTTGTTGTTGCTAAGCTACTAAAAACAAAAAAAAAATATAAAGTGTGGCATATCATTGTACTCAGGAGACCGAGTTCTTTCAAAACCTAAAATAAAAAATGCAGATCCGTATTTAAAAAAATTAAGTTGGCCTCAGTATCTCACAAATTATCAGCTAATATGAAAATTTAAAAATACTTTCAGATAGCCCTAATAAAGTGGCTATGAGAATGTGCAATTAGTTTTTTGATTTTCTAAAAAATAACGGCAGCAAAAAATAAAATTGATTTTCAAAAAAAATCTTTTTTTTTTCCAAAAAACTCAGCAATCCTTGAAATTTTTTAAACTTTTTTGATGACATCTTAGTGAACATCCCAAGGAGCAACTTTGTCCCAATTTAACCATCTTCGTATCTATTACGGTTTCCGAGATACCAATGCTCGTACCTCGAATTTGTAGCACCCTGTATATAAACCCATCCATAACGTAAAAAATATTTGAAACTTTTTTTAGTGAAATAAATAGATTAGTATGGACGTCATCTGCTTTTTTTCTCTCATCGTCTGTCGAAATCTTGTCTGTCGTTAAAAAGAATATATTTATAAACTATTTCTTAGTTATTAGTTATTTCTAAGTATGCAGATAAGTTGATTAAAGTCAATTTCTTAATGTACACAGGTATGGCGGATGTCCTACGATTTCCTATACAAAGACTGGACGCGAGTCAGTGAACTCTACGGAGTAGGCCAGTACGGCGAGGACGCCTTCAGAATGTTCTGTTTAGGCGATTTCAGCGTCGAACCCAAGGACAGATACTTGAAAATCTACAAGGCCTGGTACCAGATGCAAGAAAAACAACAGCGAATCGAGGAAATGAACGCGTGAAACGCGCCTTCTATTGTTCGAACCCATCTGAAATGATTGAATATTTGGTTGTTCTGATTTTGCTCGTTTTGGTTGGCAATATGTTTAAGAACTTTAGAAGTGTTCGTAACTGATGAGATTTTTTATTAATAAAAGAATATACATTTACATATGTCATGTTTAGCAATCATTATGATAGGCAATAAAAACATTTATATAAATTTAAATATTACTTGTGTTATTAAAGTGCAAACTTAATGTACTAGGGTGTATTTCAGGAAAATATTTTAACTCCTACAGTTTTTTGACATGAGAAATTTGATTTTGATATCAATATGACTCCTATATTTATAAAGAGTAATAACTTTTCGGCTGTACCTGTATAAAACTACTGAGTAAAAAAATATACATTTCCGTGGTTTTCTACGTAAATAATGTCTCTTGGTAAAAATTGCTACGAGCAGCCGTTTTCAAGATATTTAGAATGAATATAGTCAATACATTATCGGCAAAAAATAATCTTGTTGAGATTTGACTGAAATGATGACAGGTATTGATAATTTCGATTCCAAATATCTCGAGAACCATTACTCGTAGCGATTTTTACCAAAAGACCTTTTTTACATAAACAAACGCCGTAAATGTATATTTTTTTACTCAGTAGTTTTATACAGGTACGGACGAAAAGCTATTGCTCTTCAAACCAGTTAAAAAATATGTAGGTGGCGCACTCTACAGGTAGGAGTCATATTGACATCAAAATCAAATTTATTATGTGAAAACACTCCCAGACACAAATTTCCATCCAAATATTGACGCTACTTCAGAAATTATTTGAAAAAAATCAAGGTAAAAATGACATTTCTACACCCTGTATCTTCGAAACTAAGCATTTTAGGATATACCATTTTTTTACTTATTTTTATCTACAGAATATGCTGCTGAAGTTTCCGGAATACAGTTCGGACCATCCTGTATAAGCTCAATATTTTATAATAATTAACCGAAACTTTGTGTAAGCAAAATAAATAAAGACAATGGAAGTGCGAAATTCTTTTAATTCTCTATAATTGTAAAATCGCTTATTTCTGGGGCTTACTCAACCGGGTCTCACAATGCAAATTCACCTCAAATATCCATTTAGTTGGTCATTGGCAAGCAGGGTCTCATTGTACATGAAAATAACAAAACAAACATTTACTGATCGATAGTTAAATAGTAAAACTCACCCGGGGGTACTCCGCCCCCTAGCCACTGGTATTCTATTCAATATATCCCATTCCATATCTTCCATCTAATTCAAATATTATTCGGATCTATTGGTTAATCTTCAACAACTAGCTGGTGTCACCTGAAATAAGTATAGGGGCTTTCCCCGGACGCAAATCTGCAGCTAAACAGAGTCGCATCCCTAATAGTCAAAAGACTCGCATCCTTAATAGTCATAAAGACTCGCATCCTAATAGTTAATATACTCGCATCCTTAATAAGCTTAAAGACTCGCATCCTAATAGTCAAAAGACTCGCATCCTTAATAGTCTTAAATACTCGCATCCTAATAAGCTTAAAGACTCGCGTCCTAATAGTCAAAAGGCTCGCATCCTTAATAGCCTTAAATACTCGCATCCTAATAGTCAAAAGACTCGCATCCTTAATAGTCTTAAATACTCGCATCCTAATAGTCAAAAGACTCGAATCCTTAATAGTCAAAAAGACTCGCATCCTAATAGTCAAAGACTCGTACCTTTAATAGTCAAAAAGCTCGCATCCTAATAGTCAATAAGACTCGCAACCTTAGTCAAAAGACTCGCAACCTCCAAATGTCAGTTCTGTGACAAAACACAACACAACACTACTTTACACCCGGCCATCCCGTCTACTGCTGACTCGCCGGCAAGCTAAGCCTGTCCTCTTACATTACAATTTTACCTAATCGCAAATATTTACATCGCTTATCAATGAATAATACTCTAATCGACTTTCAACTTAATAGAGTGTTCTAGCATTACTAGATAAATAAATAGAGAGTTTCCGAATTATAAAAACATTATTATAACCAACTTATTTTCCAAGTTTTACATAATATAATCATCTTATTCGTTCATGAATAGTTTAATCAGAAGGTTCAAAGTGAACTTCTTTAATTAAATTTACATGAGACAGTAATATTCTCTTTAGAAGTCTTTGCTCCATTTATTTCTTTTATTTCTTGGTTTCTTCCATTAGTAATTCTTCATTCATGGCGGCAATAATGAAAACTCTGATCGTTATTTTTGAACTAAAGCCAAACGGAACACTGAACTAACGGTCTAAAAGTACCGTCACAATTTAGACAAATGCATCTTGCATGTTGGGTCTTGATCTTGTTCTTACAGAAAAGCTTGGTCTTTCTCTTGCTTCTCTGCAAAGAGTTGTAAGATTTTATTGGTCACAGAATTGCGCAACTTAATCATAATTTAATCTCCTTCGTAATCCCTTATGATTTCCGAGATCCAGATTCGGATTTGACATAACCTTTAACACTGTTACTAGATTGGAATGCTCGGCTTGCCGCCAAAACTTATAATTGTTTTGGAACGCATACGTTGTAGGGCGCTGCTATAGCGGTTGCTAAAAACAACCGCAAGCAAGAACAGAAATAATTTTCTCTTGTCAAAGTCAGAATCTTAAAAAATTATAGAATCTTTCAAAATGTAAACCGCCTTCATTGAAAAAACACCGAAAAGCGTTTAAAGTGTCCATTTTAAAAGTAATTATTGTTATTTTGTGAGTTTAATTTAAATTTTATTTACTCAAACCCGTGATAATTGTGAAAAAGTGGCAAAACTTAAAAAGCTATGTGAACTGCAAAAACCATCATGGATCGTGGCGTCGGTTCCCAATGTTTCATAGGTATTTCATACATGTCCTTATATAAAATATAGTTTGTTATATGCAACACTATATTTTATTTCAAAAATTAACAGAAAATAATAATAAATTTGAATATAATAAATAATATTTGGCGACATAATTCTCCGGAAAAAGCCAAACCGCTCCGAAATGATCAAAAGCTTTGGAGATTGACCGTTGGAAGAATAGCGCCAAATAGCATTTACATCGTCCTTATCGGCACTTTCCAATCTAAACTTGTTTCTTTTATCTATGTAACAAGCCAATACGTCAACAAACATCAAAATATCTATCATAAATGTCAAAAAGAAGTTATTTTATATACATTGAGGATTAGTATGTGTTTCAAAATTTCTTTGCAGTCCTATTTTAATGACTATCTTTAAAATGGAAGCTACATTACAGCGATTACCCGATTACTATGACGTAATTTGTGTGGCAAAGAGAGAAATTTTGGAAAATTTTGTTCACACCAAGAATTCAAGAAAACTGCATATTCTTTCCTGGTAAATCATTATTTTTAAGGTAAAACAAATAATTTTATTTCATTTTCTATTACATTTGTTTGACAATATATAGGTATCTACGTGTATATTCCTATAAAAAGTTTCATTCTAATGTTAAAAAAGCTATTATTTAACCTTCCGTTGTAGCATAGCGTTGTAGATTGTATGTATATCTATATCTATTGTGTCCCCCTTTCTTCACTTATAAATCAGCGTCTCTTTCTCGAGTAAAATAATTTATAAGCTTAGCAATGAGCTCTTGTTCATTTTGGTTAAATCTTTAAGACATTTTTGCAATAAAAAAGTTGAATTTTGTTTTACAGCAACAATCAAATTTTAATTTTGACATTGATCATACATTGATCCATCATTGATCGATGTCCGTCAATAAAATTATAACCACAAATCAAATGAGAATGACAATTACTCTTAGACAAGGAAAGAGAGTGGACAGGTAACACGGCAGCTGAAAGTGAGGCAAGTTGTCACCACGCGAAATTCTCCAAAGGCGTAGCATCAGAAATTAGCTTATACCTAGACGGTACAAAATATTTATTAAAACGTAAACTAATATATCGTTCATTTTTGAGTAATGCATATACAATTTTGTATTTTATAGTCTCACCTTTATAATATTAGAATATCTAAGTCGATAATTCAAAATTTATTTAACAGTCACAGTGGACTGATTATCAAGACAATTATTTATTTATTAACGTGTGTATAATGTATAATTAAATAAAAAATAATGTAATAACATATATTTTAAACGTGTATATACATATATACTGTATGATCGAAAAAAACGGCGTCTTGTTTGTTTGGAAATGAGAATTGAAATGAATATTAAAAACTACATTATTCATTGAATCCGTACGTAAGTGGGAGGGAATTGGCTAGATTCATTATTATACCGTATAATCGAAAAAAAATGATGTCCAGTTGACTTGTAAATTACGATCGATGACATTCCCCATATAATTCTACATATAAAATGACATAAAAAATATACAAAACGACATCGAAAAAGACGGCGTCAGCGATGGCTATGAAATGAAGATCGCTGTCATTTTATATGTAAAATTATATGGGGAATGTCGTCGATCGTCATTTACAAGCCAACTGGACGTCGTTTTTTATTCGACCATACGGTATAATAATGAATAATGTAATTTTTAAGAATATCCAAATTTATCCACAAAAAAATAAAACAATTCTAGAAGCTTTGTGTTATTTTATTTATTTTTAAATTTTTATTAATTACGCATTGAAACTATTATTATACACTTAAATTAGCAAATTTTTTGAAAGAATATTTAAAAAAATATATGTATGTAGTAACAAGTAGCCCACCACAAGTTTGTCCACCCCCAACAAATCTTGGCAGGTAAATTTAAGTTTTATATGACAACTATACATATAGATTTTTTATCACTAGAATTTTTCATTTTTTTATAGTTTGCAATTATTTTACATATTTGATAACAATACTTTATACATTTTTTTACATGTAAAATATATAAAAAAATGTTTATTGCAGAAATTGTATTTCTCTGATTATAATTCCCTACGCCACTGGTGAAATCCGGTCTGAGTAGCAATATTTATAGTTTCAAACATTAATTATAATACAGGATATTGAAAATACTACTTGGAATTATTAAAAATAGTTTGGTTTGGATGTGGTACAAGACATATTAAAAGCATTTTACATATTTTTACTGCTATAATGAAAAAAATGTACATTTTATGACCACATAACAAAAGTTGTGTATCGATTTTTATCTGTGAAATGTAATTCCAGCCACTTTTTTCTCGCTT